GCTCCTCCGTCCCCTCGGCAGCCAGACGTGGCGGAACGTCCGGCGCCAGGCCCTCACTCGCTGAATCCGTGAGAACCGGTAGAGGGCTGGGTTCCATATGTCGAGGCCTAAGTGGTTCCCATATGTGTAAAGTTCACGGTATAGCCTCAGTGCCCGTGTTTCCCCGGCAGACTTCTGCCATTTCCATGATGGTTACAATCACCTCTAATCTACCATATGCACCTACGGAGTAACCAACTGAAAGGGAACTTCTCGGTTACATATGTAACCCTCGTTCCCTGAAGGAGGGAACGGATCCTCTGCATTGCAAAGATGAATTTTGTTGATACTGATTTCATTTGCTTGGTAACAGCCAAAATGTCTTATTATTCTAATTGACTGATTAAATGCAAGAATTTCACTCAAATGATGCACACTTTTGGGAAAAAAAATTTGCTTTATAAAGGTAAAAAGGCCCATAAAAGGTAAAAATTAGGGATGCACCGATACCACTTTTTCCAGTACTCGCCCGATACGATAACGAGTACGAGTACGAGTACAGGAGCTCAGTATCGTGCATTCCTAGTAAAAATATATTTAAACTTATTGGAAAAGATTAATCTCCGTCACTGCTGTGAACTGACCACAGAATAGACCACAGAACTGACACTGTATATGAAGAATATCAAAAACTTTAGGAGTCAGCTGTCCACGGTAGTCCTTAAGGTACCAGCACAATAACTCACTCAGCAAAATATTGTCTAATTATCGTTATCGATAAAATCCCAGAAAATATCGAGATATCATATTTTGTCAATATCGCACACCCCTACTTTGAATTATTTACATATTGCATATCCTAATCAAACCAGTAGGAATACTGATATGATTTGAGATGTCGAGTTCAACTGATCCAGCATGTCAGGGTTATTTTTCTCAGGAACTCTGAGCTCAGCATCAGTCAGAATAGCAAATAGTCTAATTACTCTTGAGTATAGGCAAAGGCAGAGAGCTTCTGATTGTACATGTGGAGAGTAAATTCACTCTGAGAGTGAGTGAGTGTGTGTGTGTGTGTGTGTGTGTGCGCGCATGTGCTTGAAAGAAATAATTTCACACATAGATTTCACAAGCCTCTCAGAAGAAATCATCCTTCTGCATTCCTCATTTGCTCTTCAAAGACTGAAGTGTATAATATTATAATCAGACGTTTTCTCATCTCTGGGAATTTCTGTTCCTTTTCATTTTAAGTGCTCTGATATTGTTACACTTTAATTTCTCATGTAGAGCATTTACCCTGCTCTGTTTCTCTTCTAAGCAGTGCAAAGAGATTTTATTACACACAGGCACTAATGACTAATTTACCTGTGTGTAATCATTTTTCATGTAACCCAGGGCAGGAAAGGTTCTGGTCTATCCTACCTGCTGTTAAATCCAATGCAATTAAATACATTTAGGTATTTGTTGTCCACAAACCTTAGTCATTTCATATTGTTTATGCCTGAATTTGATAAATTGATCAATTTGGATTTCCATCAAAGATCAATTATGTATTTATGCCTTTAGTTTACAGCATTATTTCTAACAGATGTTGCTTCTGCTTTCATGGAGTGGGTCTATTAACATGTGATGGATGGGAAGGAGCAGCTATTCTGGCAGTTCAGAGGAAACCTGGTGTTTGATGTGGACAGAGGTTTTAACTTCTCTGTGTCTGGCTTTTGAAGGATACTGTATGCTTCTGTAGGAACAATAAGTCTTTCTTTCTGTGCCTCTATAACTCTTTCTAACTCCATAACTGTTCCGCTGTATTTTTCTGGCAGTTCAGGCATGTGCATCTGCAAGATTGGAGTGCACGGGGACAAGTGTGATGACTGCCGCCCAGGCTTCTCGCACTTCAGCAGCACGGGGTGCCAACCTTGCCAATGCAATAATCATAGCAGCTACTGCCACCCACAGTCAGGTGAGCCACCCACATGCACACAACATAAGTAGCCAAAGAACCTCAATCTCCAGAAACTTCATGTTATCTATCTAATTAGTCATTTAACTGATGCTTTTATCCAAGTACATTTATTACAGTGACAAACCCCCAAACCCCTGGAGAAAGTTGAGATTAAATGTGAGATTAATAATGATAGTTCACAGATAGCCCCTTGCCGGGATGGAATTGATCATGTATTGATCAGTGGAATCAGCTGCTTTATGGTCATTTTCTGTGTAGATTGCAGGTTGTGCAGATTGCACATCTGCAGATTGTCTAAAAACATACAATGATCAGATCTGAGTACTGTGATTTTGCTGTATTTATGCAGATTTACGTGTTTTCCAACCTGGGAAGTATGACACATATGAATCGCAATATGTCATTAAACAATTACTAAACAAACTGCAAAATGGTGTGTTTTCAAATACATTTGTATTTAATAGGGGTGGGACAATATATCGATATGGCGATATATCGTTGTCCTTCTCCATGCGATACGAGAATCGATATCTGGCGGCAAATATCGATATTTTAATTACTACAATAAAGCGCTCTAAATAGATTTCCCTGCTCCCAGCATCTAAAAATGTGTGGAAATCGCGGCCGCGCCATTTCCACCTTCTTTCCAAAGCGCTCTGAGAAACCATGAACCACGTTCTCTATGAAGATGGGGAAGCACGAGGAACTGAAGGATAAACAGATTTCCAGCCACTGTATTAGCTCTACTGCTGTATATATGTTTATGGAAATTAGAAAATTATACTAGCGGCTGTGTGCTGGACACCCTTAGCATGTCAGCCAGGGTTCAAAATGTAACACTTGCCAAGTGCCAAATGTAAGTAAAAATTGGTTTTTGGCTAGTATATGAAATAGTGTTACTCACCAGTTGATCCAATTATCAAATCACAAGGGCTGTGTTTTAAATTATATAAGTATACAGTTTGATGCTGTGCATGCTTCAGAGTGGCATGTGCCATTGTGTTACTTGCGAGGAGCTCATGAACCGGTGTTTTCAGTGTCTATAAGTGTCTAGGTGAGTTTAGGACATTTATAATGTTTATAATTTGCAAAACACAATGCGTTTTCAACCATCTTTGCAAATTTGTAATGAGAATGGTTTATAAATCTGTTGTCAACAAAACAAAAAATCTTTAAGATCTCCAAAAGCTTTAATAGCTCAAAATAAAAATGTTATGTTTAATATTAGCAAAAAAAAAAATTTAAATTTGTTGTAAACATTTTTTTACAAATTTGTGTTGTAATTTTACTGTAAAATAAATATTTATTGCCTTTTTAATTTTATTTTTTTATTACAGTACTTTAGAGGGTGGTTCAGGTTTTCCTTTTTGGATCCTTGTCTGTGTTGGTTAAAAATGATAGCAGAGTTACAATTAGAAGCATGAACAACCAAAACTTCAAAATTACGTTTTTTTTTTTATAAAATTCTAGAAAACAAGCAGTGCAACAATATTACAAGCCTCCTATTCCATTATAATGGGCATTAAGAACCACTGCATTAGAGAAAGGATGGCATTGCATCAGTGCAACTTCAATAGGCTTTTGTTGTGTCAGTCCACTGCAGTAACCAAAGACTGGTGTTGATGCTGATGCGCAGGAGCCATGTCATCACTCTAACTCAACAACCGCACATAAGCACTTTCTGCTGCTGTATGCACAATAGCACTGCAGAGCTTTAACCAACACTGTATCTTGGGGAAGCACGAGGAACTGAAGGATAAACAGATTTCCAGCCACTGTATTAGCTCTACTGCTGTATATATGTTTATGGAAATTAGAAAATTATACTAGCGGCTGTGTGCTGGACACCCTTAGCATGTCAGCCAGGGTTCAAAATGTAACACTTGCCAAGTGCCAAATGTAAGTAAAAATTGGTTTTTGGCTAGTATATGAAATAGTGTTACTCACCAGTTGATCCAATTATCAAATCACAAGGGCTGTGTTTTAAATTATATAAGTATACAGTTTGATGCTGTGCATGCTTCAGAGTGGCATGTGCCATTGTGTTACTTGCGAGGAGCTCATGAACCGGTGTTTTCAGTGTCTATAAGTGTCTAGGTGAGTTTAGGACATTTATAATGTTTATAATTTGCAAAACACAATGCGTTTTCAACCATCTTTGCAAATTTGTAATGAGAATGGTTTATAAATCTGTTGTCAACAAAACAAAAAATCTTTAAGATCTCCAAAAGCTTTAATAGCTCAAAATAAAAATGTTATGTTTAATATTAGCAAAAAAAAAAATTTAAATTTGTTGTAAACATTTTTTTACAAATTTGTGTTGTAATTTTACTGTAAAATAAATATTTATTGCCTTTTTAATTTTATTTTTTTATTACAGTACTTTAGAGGGTGGTTCAGGTTTTCCTTTTTGGATCCTTGTCTGTGTTGGTTAAAAATGATAGCAGAGTTACAATTAGAAGCATGAACAACCAAAACTTCAAAATTACGTTTTTTTTTTAATAAAATTCTAGAAAACAAGCAGTGCAACAATATTACAAGCCTCCTATTCCATTATAATGGGCATTAAGAACCACTGCATTAGAGAAAGGATGGCATTGCATCAGTGCAACTTCAATAGGCTTTTGTTGTGTCAGTCCACTGCAGTAACCAAAGACTGGTGTTGATGCTGATGCGCAGGAGCCATGTCATCACTCTAACTCAACAACCGCACATAAGCACTTTCTGCTGCTGTATGCACAATAGCACTGCAGAGCTTTAACCAACACTGTATCTCTCTCACCACACAGGCTGTCCAGTTTTCAAACAGACGAGGACTTTCAAACTTGCGAAAGGGTACCTCATATCTAAAATGTAAAGGCAGTGATATATTTTTCAACCTGGGATCATTAGAAATATGTGCATGTGGCATAATTTCTGCAAAATATTGCATGCCTTCTAGCACGTTTAGCAACACTTTAAGTGAAATGTCCAGCGAGTGGTCCAATGTTTTATTATATTGCTTCTTTTTCGGTCACGGAAGTTTGGAAATTAAATGTCTGCCACCTACTGTACACTTAAACCCTACCTTAAACCTAACCAACAGTGTTAGTGTTACAAACACAAACACAAACGTGAGATAAAAATGTGTTTGCTCAAGCAACCGTGCCATTTTAGCTTGCTTACAAGGCTTTGAGCTCTTTTATTTTGACTCATGTTTCATGGGACTCGTAGCTGAGTGCTCCACTTCACAAGTGCAGTTCTGTACCAGGTGAGCTACCAGGCAGGTTTACTGCATCAGAAAAGTAATACATGTGGCGCTTATTACTGTTACGGGGCTGACAAGACGTGAGACATGCGGATCCATGTGCAAGCTTTATTAAAGCAGAGAGGTCAGAAACACAGGCAGGGTCGAACAATGGCAAACAGGTATAAGGCGGGCAAGACACAAGAATAATTCTAGGGCTAGCGAAGGTCAACGAACGGCGAACAGAATCAAAAGGGCAAGACTAAAGGGATAAATCCAGGAAAACAGGCAAAGATCAGAAACCGAGAAAACAGACAAGGCAAGGCTAGGCTAAGGCAGG